CTCTCCATATGTTCTTTCAGATGTCCTGAAATGCGCCACAAAGTCTCCTGAAACATCAACTCTTTGTCGTACTGAAATGTAACCATATTCAGTCATTTCTAGTGATGTGCGGGCCCGGCTTGGGCTCAAAGCCCAGGCTTGGGCTTGTGGCGACATCAAGCCAAGCCCTGAGCCCGAGCCGAGCCCGAGCCCGGCCCAAGCCTTGGGCTTAAGCCCGGGCTTGCTCACAATACAACGAGTGTTCCGGTGCTATCAAAAGGGAATGTATTTGGGTGTAGTAGATTAATACTGCATGTACTCACTAAATTATAACCTCCAGAAGATTTACACCTGCGGAACAAGTCGAGTTGCAGCAAAGTCCACAAGCATGCACTGTCAGCAGGCACCAGATGGTGACGCACAATCGTGCTCGGCGAGAGCCGTTACATCTAGAATATCTACATTTTGTCTTCTATGTACATATTAGGTCGCTCTCTCCTTATTCTGAACTCAGGGAACAGTAACGGAGCCAGCACACCCAAGCCTGGGCTTCCGGGCCAGGCTTGGGCTTGACTGTGCTCCGAGCCTGGCCTTGAGCCCGCTGCCAGGCTTGACTCGGGCCAGGCTTTTTGGGCCGGGCTTGGCGGGCTTGCAGGCTTTGAGGCCCGGCCCGCACATCACTAGTCATTTCAGGTTCATTTCAGGCTACACAAAATTTATCATTTTCCTTGCACCGCAAATGGCTACAAAAGTGGTAGCAAATTTATCATTTTGGGGCGCCGGAAAGCCACGGTCAAGTCTCCGAAAATGATACAGTTCTGATGGCTTGACCTGGACATTTCAGGTGATTTGAAATCAGCTCATGCCCGTAGTGTCAGGTCCTCAGTATCTAACTTCTCGTGTGAATGCGCCAACATGCACGCCCTTTCCCGCACGCAGTGGTCACTCAATGCTGCGACAACATACATGGCGCATAGAGGCATGGCGCATGCTTCGAGAGCCCGAACCTTTGTCCCATTGTATTGGTATCATCGCCACAAAGGACCTGATGCGCCAGTTGATGCGCTCCGCCAGGGCACGTGTCTCCCGCCACTTCCGCCGGGCGTCTACGCGGAACGCGTACTCTTATCGCATCTCTACTCTGACTTTCCGTCCTTTGCTACGTTGGCCGATTTTCAACTCCTATGGCTCACCGAAGAAATATATCGTTGGATTGTCCCCTGACTGCAATGCCAGAAGTCAGTCTCAGCCTGCACCGGCAAGGTTGAATTTCCGAGGTTTGTTGGCGACCTCCCGATGCTCGCAGTCTCATCGCAGCCGCATACCTTTCCAGATTCATTCTCTGCAGTCCATTCGGACTTAACTCTTTGATGACCTTTGTGGCGCGACGTGCGTGTCAGCTTGCATGCCAACATCCACTTTGCGCCCAAACAACCTTCGTACCAGACGTCTTTGTATCCCGCGCTCACCTGTAGCTCGACAACCGCACGTGGAACAAAGCCTTTCGTTGGTATTTGGATATTTGAGACGGTATTATTGAGCGTTTTTGAGACTGAGGACGGCGCATTGCTCGGTACGTCGTCGGCTGTTATAAGTCATGACTCGCGCAGGACTCACCACAGATTCCCCATCAGACCTAGCAAGCATCTGGTTTGAGTCGTCTCCAGAAGACAATATCGCGAATATCTATGCGAGCGCCGATGCTGCCGAGCGCAAGCTTAAGCTTCGAGGCCATTTGCGTACATCGAAGGTATCGCTTCCTAAGCCGCGTTCGATAGCGCGCAAAACGTCGGAATATACCCACCCAAATGCTTTGGTTTTAGCCGTAGGCCCTCAGCCAACCAGAAATCTAGCCGATGGGCGGCCATGAACTCGGAAATCAGGGAGGAAGGCGGCAGAGGGCGCGACATTCTCAAGGTGAATCCACGCCTTATGTTACGACGCATGCCGCTAACCGCAGCACCCCAAGCCCGTCAAACACAGCGCAAGGACGTGGTACGCATTATTTTTGAGTACACATTTCCCGTCTGTGCCGATGCAACAACCAGTCGAAAACATCGAAGTCAACTGCAGATCTGAAAGTCGCTGGATGGGTCATGCGGGCGGTCGCCCAGGATGCGCCGGTGCGCCCAGTGACCCAGGCTCTCGAATGGGGCCGTCTGCGTGGCATAGAGCGGTCTAGAGTGAGCGTGGGAGTCATTTTTTGGAGAGGGATGCTTGCAGTTGGAATGCGCCGTCAGGTTCGTAATCACCTCCGCTAGTATTGTGCTCAAACCCGCCAACTCATGCCCACCAGCTCGCTCCGTACGATGGGAAGACGCAAGTGGCAGAAGGCTTGTGGACGGGCCAATTCCTCGACGTGGCTCCGCCGTCGAGCACGCCGGGAAGCTTCGCAATCCGTACGCTATCGCGCGACCCCGGCTCAGTCGTAGACGAAGATCTCGCAC